GTTTCGGGGGTCCGTTGCTTGAGGGGACCCCCGGGGCGTTTACAACGTAATGGGCTTTTACTGAGAAGACGCGAAGGCAGGAAGACTGTCGGTAGCATTCTTGACAGGAGCGAGCGTCGAATTCTTGTTGGGTTTTTGTTGAGGTTATGGTGTTGTTTTTTTTTAGTATAGATACCCATACGTCGCGTCAAGTCTTAACATAAGAAACCGTAACGCGGTGCTTTACCTGAAGCCGGGCATGTCACTTACATGTAAGGCTCCATAAGACTCTTGGCTCCATTTCTGTGGTAAAGATGACAGTACATTTTTATTTCTTGATGACTGAGGAGGTGGCTGATGAGGGGCTTTGGCGCTGGGTGTTGAGGCAAAGCATGCCCTTTCCTCAAGACACAAAAATCGTTGCTGATCTCTGTAATTTTACATGTCGGTCCGCTGCATGCCTGTCTTGCCTTCAGCCCTCTCTTCAGTTGCACATATTGACTGTATTTTAATCTTAAATTGGATTAGCTGTTTATGATCTGAATGCTGTTGTAGTTAACGAGCTTAATACATAAACTGCTCATGCTTTTTTTCTCCTCTCTTTTTTTTTTTTTTTTTTTTTTGGTCTAGAATGACAAATGATTTTTTCTCCACTGGATAGTACTGTGGTCTGTTTCTAGTTACCAAATACTTTTAGGATATTTCTTTCAACTCTTTCTTTCAGGTACATCTCAGCTCCAAAGTACTCATTAAGGAGAAGGTCTGCATTTTGGTGTCTTGGTATCTCTTTTCAAACATTTTATGTATGGTCCCTGAAATAAAAAAATTAAGTCCTCATTTCATGGGGCATTTGTTTGTTTGCTTTGATTTCCATGTGGGTTTAATTCAGTTTGTTCCTCCGTATCTTTGTAAAATCCTACTGATTTCTTGCGTGCTTTTGTTCTCTTTCCTCTTCAGCCTCCTTCATGCTCAAACCCCGCTAATGCATTATAGTTATCTGACCCAAAAATATTTGCATTGCCAGTTCTTCACAGTTTGTTTTAAGCTCACATCTGCTTTTCTGTGAGATAATACATTAAACGTTTGAGCTTGTGTCTTCCATGGTAATTGTACTTATGGAGTTTTTCATATGAATTAACATCCAATATCACATAATGTTTTTTTAGGAGATAATAGAATTATAAGGGACTATTGCAATCTTTTTTTCTTCTTGCATAAAATGCATAATTCTACTAATTTTATGCATTAAATTCCTATATGTATTTGTGTACCTGATAACTTCTGGCAAAACTGGGGCAAAAATTTTGGAGAGCAATATTTCTAAATGATACTTTTTGCTGTTGGATTCTTGTTTTGCTCTTCCACCATGAGCTGAAAGGCCTCTTAAGTGTCAGCTATTTTCCCAAATGCATTTTTACAGCTTTGCTCTAAATATCTTCTTGTGTCTGTAATTTACAATGTTAACTGTACATTTGTTAAAATTATTTTCATAATTTCCTTAATTTAAATATATCACAAAAATTGCATTTTGTGCGTATAGGTGGAGATGATAAATAATGCTTTATGTCATATAAAAATGTCGTGAGAAATGACAACTCTTAAGCACTGTTACTCTATCAGCTGTTTTGTGTGTGGGTTTTATGTAAAGCCAACCTAAATCTTTCTTGCAATATGTTGGCTGGACTGACCACCAGTAGGTTTCTAAGCATTCTTGTGTAATACGTCTATTTCCCACTGTTCTGGTTTAACAAGAATGTAAGCCCCTCAACTATGCTTTCTGAGATTTATAGGATAGAAGAACCCATGACACTTGATTTTCAGACTGTTTATAAAATATCACAATAATTATTTTTCAGACAAAAAATACAGTTTCTAGTTTTATATTAAAAATTGTTATTTCAGAGATTATTTTGGTTGAACAGAGTTTTGCTTTTTCTAGTCTGATTTCACTCGTGATCTGCAGAATATTTATACTTATGCTGTTGCACCTGGGCATGTGACTTGATTTTTACACAGACAGCAGTCATTTTTGTCTGTAAAAGACAGCATAGACAGACTGTTGAAAAATAACAGTTATGCCATGGACATGACTCTTGACTAAGGGTAATCTGAAGCCACGTTTTTGCTTCGCGTTCCTCATTCTGGCTCAAAGACACCCATTCACCTACTGTCCTTTTTTACCAGTTGGCATTGTTACCTTTATTTTATGATACATAATTCTCCAGTCATACTCGTTTTGGGATTTTTTTTTTTATGTACATGTTAACAATACCCGTAACAAAGCACTGTAAGCCTACTAGAGAACTGACACAGTCCTCTGTTGATACTTGAATTTATAGGTCTCTGCTTATCTGTACCAAGGTCACTAATTGATGGGATGAAATCAAAAAGAGATCCCTGAATGTGACGCATAAATACTTCATTAGGTGGGAATCTTTCAGGCACACAGTTATGAGGAAAAATCTGTTAAAATAGATGTCTGTGTATTTTGAAATGCCATTACTTAAAACAGAAGGCTAGAAGTGCCCTTGTCTGACTTTACGACATTGAGTTTTATTATCTTTTAATCTTGTTCCATCTTTATATGTTCCCTTCTCTTGTTTTATGGTCTTTTTTTTCCCCGCTTTCTTTAACAGAGTTTCTAAGCCCTAGCCAAAGTTGCTGTTTAATTCAATTATATTTGTTCAGGAACACATAAAAAAAGATGTTGCTTCTTTCTGCATTTTTGACTATTGTTCAGTTTTCATGTGTGTTTTGTACAGAGTTTGAAGAGCTTTGTGTAGTATCAGTGCTTACTGTTGTTGCCTTGTTAGTTTTATTTAGGATGGAACAAACGGTGTTTGGTCTTTCCTGCACTGGACTGGGCAGACTGGATTCAGAAAGCACAGAGGCTCAATCCTGAGGCATAGACCACGTTACCTACTGGAGTAAGGCAACTGCAGTGGAAAAAATATGTTCTCCTAGCCCCAGGGTAAGTTTGATTCTCAATACTAGTGTGCTTTTTAAAGGTATGTTGCTACATCAGCTCTTCCCAGATTGGATTCTATTACAGACTTTATGGTAATTTTAAATAAAATCCAATGTGTTGTGATTGTTATATAAAAGAAACATTTGTGAGGAGATCACCATTTGTTCTTTAAAATGGAATTTATTCAGAAATGTACTGTATGTTGTAAAGTCACCCACCAGAAAACAACAGTTCCAGTGTTTCAGGAAACAGCTTCTGTCTACATGTTCGTTCAGAAGAGGCACAGTCATGGTTAACAAGCTCTAAACTTGACCCACATTTTTTCATCTGTGTGCAAAGTCCATGTATTATTCATGTTTTCTTCTCTTTTTTTTCTTTTTAATGTTTTCAAAATAAATGATTCAGTGGGCTTCTTTTCTATAAAGATCAATGCCAGTAGCCGTGTCTTGTGGATAATTCTACAAGAAACAGGCATGTGAATAATCTGGAAGAAACATTGTATATTCTCTGGTGCTCACGACCAATAATGTGTTTAAAATAATAAACTATTATGTATCAACATTTTTAGAAGTATTCATTTTTAAAGGAAGTCTAATACAGTCATAAAAAGCCCATTCAAAATAAAAATTTACCTGATAGAACCATCTGAAGAAGCATTATCAAGATTCAACGTATTGCACAGAAATAGCAACCTTTTGGGAAGAATCCATTTTTAGATACGATGTAGGCTTTGAAACTGTGATCTTGTCTCCATGCTCCCCAAAAAGACAGAAGAGCGTAACAGTTGGGACAGTTAGAATTGATACTGTCCTTCAAAGACAAAGACTTTTTGGTGTGTTTAACGTAACGAAGCTATGGGATGCATCACTTATATGAGGATTTATATTTCAAAAGTGTTCTTTTTAATGTTATCACAGAAATGAGTACTCTGTCTTTATAATCCGGGTATCCTATAATTGTTTCTTTGGGAGTGGGGGTGTCTTTAAGATCTTGAATTATTTTTGGAATTTCTTTTGAGGTGTCAAGCAGTTACTTAAGGACAACAATTATTCCCAAGAAATCACCTGGTACAACATTGCATAACGATTACAGAACATAAGTAGTTTTTAACGACTTCTAAGTGATTATTAATACTAATAACAATGCCTTTATTTTCAAATTACAGTGGTCAACTTTTGAAAAGGAGAATGACTGAGATTAGTTAATTTTCTGCTTTTCTGCCAAAAAAAGAGCTCTTAGGAAGGTAACGTGGCAGACAATGGACAAGTCCCAAAAGTAACACTTGAGTTTGCTGCTGGAGCACATACTGAGGAAAAGCATATGTAGTTTTTCTCTGTAAGGAGTTAGTATTGACTGAATGGTTGTTGTCTTTGTGTTTATGATAAGTAGTAAAGATATTTTAGTGGTTCTGGTTTTCTTAATGCTTACTCTATGCGCCAGTTTCCAAGCTAAACAAGGAGTTGCTCAGAGGCACATAACAGGATGATAATACATATGTTTACAAAGTATGTAAATGAAAATAGTGTTTGGGATTGTAGATTAGGAACTCTGTTTTAACAGTTGTGGCATAGAGAGATTTGAGATTTTTGAGCATCAGTCCTAAGAGTTCTCCAAACTGAATCTTTTTTTGTTGTTACAGTGTGAAGGATTTAATTCGATGAATATCATGTATTTAAGACCAGGAGGAGTCTTGAAACATATTCAGTGTATTGTCATAGACATATTTCAAATTATTTTCTAAAATGTAAGACTTCAGAAAGTGGAGTTAGAGCTTTCCATGTTACAAAGGTGCTTGTTCTAATTAAAACAGGACAAGTATTTTAATTCAGAGCTGTATTGTTCAAGTCAACAAATTAACTTAACTGAAATCAGATTCCTTAGTGAATTTGGGGGTTTTTATGCTCAGTTGTAGCTGTGATAATCAATTCTTTGTGCTAATGGATTTTTTCCTTTTATAGTTTTCTTTCTGTTCTCTGACTTTTACAGAACGACTGACAATACAAGACAATGCACAGTGTATATCCTGATGACATTTTGTGTGCTGTGACATGATTTTTGCCATGGCATCTGAGACTGAAAAGGCCCATGCTCTTCTCCAAACTTTCAGCACAGCTTCAGTTATTTCTAGTCTAGGTTTGGGGATATTCTGCTTTGTAGCAGACAGACTTCTGCAGTTTTCCTTCATTCAGCAAAATGACTGGCTCCGAGCCTTCTCTGATAATGCAGTGCATGGTATACTAGGAATGTGGTCCTGGGCAATAGTGATTGGACTTAGGAAGAAAAGTGACTTCACTGAGGTTACTCTGGCTGGCTTCCTCGCCTCTGTCATTGATGTGGACCACTTCTTTCTTGCTGGTTCCATCTCATTAAAGGTAAGTTGATATCAGTGATTGTTTATTTTCTTTCTTCATCACTGTTTACTTTATCGCTCTTCTACCATATCCTCAACAAAAAAGTTCCAATAATACTTGAATTAGATACATTTTTAATAGATACTATGGGATTTATATTTGTAGGTAGTTGTTATGATTTTAAAAGCCATAAAAATATTTTACATTTACTGTTAAGTTCTGCTCCTTACAAGGCTCTGAAAAAAGAGTTCTGAAAGCCCTTGTGCACTATATCCTGTGCGTATCACAGAGTTGCTTTGTTATCCGAGTAAAACAGTTAAGTGCTGCCGTGCTTACTTTGTGTATAAAGTAGATCATTTGATTTCTGTTTACAATACAGGATAGAAATCTCTGCAACGTAGATAATGCAGCTGCTGTTTTATTTCATTCAGTCTTACTAAGTCATACATGTGGTTTTAGCCAGCCCTAAATATTTCTCCCACAAATAAGCTGTATATGAGCTGTCACCTTTAAAAAGGCAGTCTAAATTTGCCCTTAAATATAGTTGGTTGTAAAAAAAAAAAATAAATAAAGCAAGTGTCAAACTTGTTAATAGAAGTAAGAAAGTGAATTGGCTCCCATTAAGGAATATATGTGATCATCATCCATTTGCAGAACTGCTTGTTAGAACAAAGTTTCTCTATAGGATTGGTACTACCAGATTATGGCATTCTTTTTCAGTGGTTCTCCGGTGGTTTAGGTGTGTCCTGTTCCTGCTTCCCCATTCACACATTTTTATATATCCCTGTCTTCTTGCCTGCTCTAAACATATGTACCCAGCCTTTGCTGACCACAACAGTCTCTTGTGTACGCTCTCCAAAACATTTGTACCTTCTGTAAGCTCTGGCTGTGCCAGCCGCAGCCACAGTTCTCTTAACACTGCCCTCCAGATCTTATACCTCCGGCAGACACTCCTTGTCCCCAGCTAGCTCCTGGTCCCCATAGCTAGATCTCTGCCACTCTGCGTGTTACCAGGAATTTGCTGTGCTCAGCAACACAAGTCCTCATAATTTCACAGAATCATAGAATCACTAAGGTTGGAAAGGACCTTCAAGATCATCAAGTCCAACCATTAATCCAGCGCCACCATGTCCCCTAAATCACGTCCTGAAGCGCCATATCCACACGTTTTTTAAACACTTCCAGAGATGGTGACTCCACCACCTCCTTGGGCAGCCTGTTCCAATGCTTGACCACCCTGTCGGTGAAGAAATTTTTCCTAATATCCAATCTAAACCTCCCCTGGCGCAACTTGAGGCCATTTCCTCTCGTCCTATGACTAGTTAGTTGGGAGAAGAGACCAACACCCACATAGCCACAACCCCCTTTCAGGTAGTTGTAGAGAGTGATAAGGTCTCCCCTCAGCCTCCTTTTCTCCAGACTGAACAACCCCAGTTCCCTCAGCCGCTCTTCATAAGACACATGCTCCAGACCCCTCAGCAACTTCGTTGCCCTTCTTTGGAGAATTTGATTATGCTGGTGTTGCTAGCATATATATATATACATGCTACTTGCTCTCCCATCCCCAAAAATGTACACCCTTACATGCAGAGGGACCTGCACAGGAGAAGGGGACGATACTGATCTTCATCCATTCAAGTAGAGCATAACTTAGGTTGTTTGACTGTCTTGCCTTTTTTCTTTTCTTCCAGTTTGCTTGTGTTACACTCTTCATATGGATGACAGAGGAAATAGCTCCTAGGAAGCAGAGGAAAAAAGGAGGTGGAGGGAAAATTGCTGTTCTTTGTAATTCTTTAATTAAAGAAGAACAATGCAAAATGGTTTACCAATGTTTTTTTAAAATACATAGGAGACAGCTAAATGCAAGAAGCATTATTGCTTGTAGTTGAGATGTAAAAATCAGACTTCCAATGGGAAAATAGTTTTTGTTTACGTACAATATCACTACTTGTTGTGGAGAAAAGACTTTTTCCTGTGTGCATTTTGTCAGTTTCCCCCTTATATTTGCCTTTGACAAGGAGAGAATCACAGAGTGGTTGCAGTTGGAAGACTCTTCAGGAGGTCATCTTCTCCAACCCCCTTGCTGAAGCAGGCTTACCCAGAGCTGGTTGTTCAGGACCATGTCCAGACAACTTTTGAACATCTCTATGAATGTAAACTCCACAACCTCTTTGGGCAGTCTGTTCCCATGTGCAGTCACCGTCACAGTGAAAGCATGTTTCCTTACATTCAGGATGAACTTCCTGTGTTTCAGTCTGTGCCCCTTTCCTCTTGCCCTGTCAGTGAGCACCTCTGGAAAAAGCCTGGCTCTGTTCTCTTTACACCGTCCCTTTAGGTATTGGTACACCTTGATGACCTCTCCCCTGAGCCTTCTCTTCTCTAGGCTAAACAGTCCCAGCACTCATCCTTTCCTCATATGCAAGATGCTCCAGTCCCTTCGTGATCTTAGTGGCCCTTGCCTGGACTTCATCTCCAGTAACTCCATGTCTCTCACACTGGGGAGCCCAGAACTGAACTCGGCACTCCAGAGGTGGCCTTACCAGTGCTGAGGAGAAAGAGAAGGATCACCTCCCTCGACCTACTGGCAACACTCCTAATGCAGCCCAGGTACACTGGCCTTCTTTGCCACAAGGCCATGTTTCTGCCTCATATTCAACTTGTTATTCAAGTTGAATATCCTTAGAACTGCTGTCCATCTGGTTGGCCTCCAGCATGTATTGGTGCCTGGCAATATTCCTTCCCTAGGTCGTCTTTAGTTCTCCCCTTTTCTGTACTTTTTCCACGTGGAAATACTGTAAAATTGTAAAACGATATAAAGAAAAGGAAGGTTAGTTTGCTTGATTAATGGGTCTTATAATAGTAACATTATGGTATAGCATTAAATTTACAATAATGATTACTATTACAATTATTAATAATTATATATTAATA